TTATATGGCCTGTCACTGTGTCAGCAAAGTCTAATGCAGTTTGAGAAACATTTTTACATAAAAAGGCTAATATACAGTATTTGTAGACATATTATATGCACACTGGCAGAGCATAAATAAGGGTGACCTCAGACAGTACAGTCAGAAGACTTCTTTAGACTATGATATGAACATTTACTGTAGGATTGCCTGAATGTGCAGGTTTATGACACTGGAGAAAAGAGGAGACCATAATGTCCCGAAACTAATTTAGCTCTGGGGGAAAAATATTGATTGCCAAAAAATATCTGACACAATAAATTGCTGTTTTCATTAAAATAGGTCAGCAGTAGATGCCTGTTAGGACTCAGTTTTCAGAAGTAGGATCTCAGCTTAAGAATTTGATGGTTCATTTACTAGTAATATGCAGCATGACAAGTTAAGGCGATGTTAGGATAGTGTTAAAGTGAAAGGTTAGGAAGTGAGGGTAAAGTGTTAGTATTAATGTGAACCTTTGTATTTACAGGGTTAAGTGATGAGATAAGCAGTAATGGTTAGAGCAGCATTTCTCAACCAGTATGCCCTGCACCCTGGTGGGCCTTCTAGCTTCCTCAGGACTCTGATGTGAAAGGTGCTTCTGATATGAAGGGGGTGCTCTGATGTAAAAGGGGAACCCTACTTTTTTGTGCCTTTGCATGGGGTTGCCCCTAAAAATCTATTACATTTAAAGTGTGCCACGACTGCAAAAAATTGAGAAAGGCTGGGTTAGAGTGAAGGTTAAAGGATTAGGTTATAGGTATTAGAGGTTATAGGAGGGAAGTACAATAACCTCTTTCACAATTTTATTTCTGGCCAGCTTTCTGTCACAAGTTGCACAAGTATTTGTGGCAGGAGGTCAAGGGAAATTGCCCCAAAGGGTTACAATCAGTAAGAAAAATTCCACGAGACAACCAAAAGCACTTCTAAACATTACCAAAAAAGTGTTTTGGTGTTTTTCGTTTTTTTGAGCCTGTGATAATTTTCAATAATTTTCTGTCCCAGGTGACACCATAAAAGAAAGTGAGGGGAACCTTCTCAATGCAGGCCTGTCAAAAGTTTTAACCTTTCACTATTGACCTAAAACAACCCCAATGACCAGAAGAGCGAGTGGGGCCAGTCTCCTGTCTATGGGAGCAGGACACTATTGACCGAACACTAAGCTCCAGCTTTAGGGGCTCCTTGGATGTTGTAGAAGATAACAATCAATATGCAGACTCTAGCACAGGGGTGCCCACAATTTTTCGTCTGGAGATCTACTTTTCAAATGACGAGCTACATGAGATCTACCAATGAAAAAACACCTGCATTCAGGGGCGGGAGGGGGCGTGGCAGTGCATTGAAGTCAACTAGCCCCCTCTTCTCTCTCTCCTCGCGCTCTCTCCTCTCTTTCTCCCGTTTCTATCTGCTGTCTCTTCTCTCACTTTCTCTGCTGTCTCTCTCCTGTCTGTCTTTTCTTACCTCCACTGCAGCAGCTTCCAAAGTCTCCTCTCCTCTCTCCTTCCTGTCTGCGGCGTCTGACACATTCAGCCGCACGAGCACCGCAGGAGGACAGGACACAGGTCAGTGAGCCGATCGCAATCTACCAGTGTTCGCTTTGCGACCTACTGGTAGATCGCGATCTACCTAATGGGCACCCCTGCTCTAGCATATGCCTGCTATTTTATAAATGTGCGAGTTTACTAATATTGTGGGGGCCACAAGTTCAACCCATCCTCAAACTGCGATTAAATCACTAATCTGTGGTCACTAACTCCTTTCTTGTCAAGAGGAAAAGCTCAGCCATGCCATTCAGAAATGTGAAATCGCTATTGCTGGAATTGAGCACTTCCCATATCAAAAGCACTTATTATCAATTTAAGGTGTAATCCTAAAGGAGATAATCACAGACAGCTGAAGTGCAGCATTATGGACAGCCTATGAGTACTTTATGCATTTATGAGGAGAAATAATTTGTTATGTGTATCAGAGGCGGTTCATAACACCTTAGTTTACCTTAGCCAATTACTATTACTGTATATCACACAATGCAAAACTGATTAATAAGGTGTCAGTGCATTAAACATGCACCTGATGGGAGGTACCAAGTACAAAAGCACAGGGATTATAATACCTGTAAGTTAAACATTTATTAAGGTAATGTCAATATTTTGCTCTCAGTTGTTCTATGCTTCAAAAAGGGAGAAAAGCCTATACTTGCATTTTCCTGAACAGGTAAATCTCCATGCCCCAGTCAACAAACAACTTTTATTAAGGAAGTGTGTCTTTACAATGGCTACTTATATGTTTCAGACCTTTATATGTAAGATTTACTGAATAACATTTAAACATGCCATTAAAAGTCAATATATATATGGGGGTGATCACTGCCTGACAATTATTTACACATAGCGTACGGAGATGAATTAGCTAGATATTAAATCTCCTTCCATATGTCTACTGCCACGATATGATTGACTCAGAATATAATGCCCATCATATATCTTAGGTATTGGGATCGGTTTTCTAACCTGCATTCCTCCATAAGTGATTACCAGTGGGCATCTTCCAGCCACCACAAACATAAGACTCTTGCCTGATCCAGCAGATACAATGACCAGCTTGTTCTTGTGAGGAAGAAAACTAAAGAATAAGCAAAGAATTTCCTTTTGCGACTGTACTTTTTAAGATTCAGGAAGAAAAAAAATTGCATTCAGTAGAGCATATTCACCAAAACCATAGGTAAATTGCAGATTTGATGTGATTTCAAGTAAAGTGGAAAGCATCCTTGTGAGAATTTATTTTCTGTGGCAAATAAAAGTGGAGCAGAGTTGCAGGCCGCATCAGTCATTACCTACATTATTATCTACTGTACCTAAGTCTCTTATTTCATGAGAAAGCAAGGAGCTAAAAATATAATAGCTATACTGCTATTCATGTTGTTCCTGTGAATGCAGGTAGGGTGTGTTTGGCCTAAAATTGGACAAACACATTTCAGCTTTAAATTTTTAAGTTTCAATTATAAGACATAATTGTACAAACTGATGGTGATTGTATGTAAAAATATTAAGAACCCCAGGCACAAATTATATTAGCCAACCAGCTCTTAGACCGGTCCCTGGAGGGTCTTTCCACTTCTGCTACAGCGGTCTAAGGATCCTCATGTCATCATGTCCACTGCAGCGGAGGAGCAGACAGGCTGGAGGGGTCGCTGCCAGCACTGAGGATCGGGTGAGTATCTTTTTTTTTACCCTAGGCAAAAACGAGTATCTAACCCTTGCAGTGCAGGAGTAGCCCCACCGCAAGGGTTAATCAAATTGGTGCCTGGAGTTCTTCTTTAAAGTGCATCTACATCCAAATATTAAATATATTGCAGCTTACCAGTGCTTAGCTGTGGTTTCTTTCATTTGTTTTTTCTTATTTTATCTTTTCCTGGTAATCTTCCAAATAGCACACTTCCTGTCTTGTAGAAATATTTACTCCTTCACTGTATTTATAGAGGGAACCATGGCTGTCACCCAGGCTAGGCTACAAAAATGTCTGCCTTTGTTCATCTCCATAACACAGAGCATGAGGAGATTAGTAATTTACAGAAGAAATATAACATTGTTTTTGCTTTTAGTAAAGCTGACGGAAGTGCCAAAGACCTAATTTCAGGCAAGAGCAACAGGTCTTTTCTGTACTTGCTGAAAATGTTCTTAGGCTCAAAAAGAAACTAGTACAGCCACCTCCCCTATGGACTGGTAAGCTGCAATATATGACATTTTTGTTCACAGGTTTAGTTATGCTGTAAGATTCTGAATTTACAGTTCCACTCATTGCTATAGACGACATTATTGATGCCTTGTGAGACACCATAGGCTGACAGCCCAGAAACAGGGAGCATATCGAAAATCCGGCACGGATTTCCGGATATTGTGACAAAAAGTATCCTAGCACACTACAAAATGTTTACAAAGTTTGTAAAATGACGGTTCATATGTGCCAATGACATCAACCTAACAGAGTGTAAAAGACAGATGGTCTGTCTCTATGGAAAGATGTGGTTAATGCCTGGTCCAGCACTGAAAGGTCTGGTTTGAAAGGTGACCTGGCTAGATGGATGCCTGAGAGAAAGTAGGGTCTGTATGGAGTCAGGCTGAAGGTCTAAGCAGAGCAAAAATTATCCAGGGGGCTAAAGGTTTTCAGTTGTTTTGTACAATGCTGAGAACCCCTGCATGGGAAAAGCAGTGTGTTAACTAACCTCTGTTGTTGAAGAAATGTGGGCGGAAAGCCTTTAACCTCAACTTTGGCAACGTAAATGGGTTGAGTGCTTGAAGCTCTACTCTTAAAGCAAAAAGTGATGCAGGTGCCATAGGCAATGGCCATTAAATATTTTATTGAAGAACCTTGTGTAAAATTAAAAGGAACCTGGGGAGCCTTTCAATAGCAGACTTGACAAAATATTAGGAGCCCACGAACTGCCCCTTTGCCAGCTGCCATCTCCCCCTTCCCACTGGGGTTTCTTACCCTGTGTTAACAGGGTTTCCTGTGGTCTAAAGAAAGCTCACCACATAAAGTATGTATGATATGGCTATTGTATGGTTTATTGTAACACACCTTTTGACTTATATATGATAAAAATGGAGATTGTAAGGGATGAATTGTAAACTATGAAGACTTAATGAGCTAAACAAGATAGCTGCTCTGTAAAAAATATATGTACTCACCTGATTAAAGTATTCCATAATTACAAATATTATTTCCAATCCAGTTTCCAGAATATACATTTACCATTTTACATTATGGATAGTTGGAGACCATGGTGCTTGAAAGTTCTCAGCACAGCATTATACTTTTTTTTTTTACACAAAAGACGATAATAGTACTTTTCTGTGACACCTTTTTAGGTATTAGAAGCTAACAAAATGAATAAACAAAATATACTTCTTTCAGCTCTGATCGCATGGGTTTTTTTTTATAAAAGTAAATAAAATTTTCAATAGCAAATTCATTAATTACAAAGATAATATTTAACATTTATTGCATTAAGACGTCAAGAAGTTTGACAGTTAAGCCAAGATAAGTCTTGAACCCACTTCCCAGAAGCAGTTACTCTCAGAGTGTCCGGGTCAAATATCCAGAATTTTTCACCTTTAAAAAAATAGACTATGCCATTTGGATGAGTCAGTGCTGCATTAGCACTGGGTGGAACGCCTTTCCAATCCTGTATGCTGCGGGGATAGTAAGGCTCCACCGTCATGGATTCCTCATTAATCACATAGTACTTTTCTCCTTTGAAAACGACTAAATGTCCAAGTGGCTGAAAATATAGAGCTGTGTCAGGATGTCGTGGGAAACCATTTTCGCTACACTTTTGAGGAAAACCAGCCTCTAGTATAGAACCTTTGTATCTCCAGCATCTCCCACCTGCAAAACAAAAAAAGTGGGAAGGTAAAAGGCTATACTCTGCACAAAAGTGCCCTAGTTATGTACTGTACCTACATTGATAATGTATTAAAGGGATGTCACCATGAAGAAAAATACCTGCCACTGAAGCCTCACATAGAAGAAGCAATTCTCTCACAGGTAGCATACTAGCACCCAGGCAGGGGTCTAACTACAGATCATGGGGCCCTATAGAACATTTTTAATGGGGCCCCCTGGCCACCTCCGTACTGTCACTGAGGTTAACAAAGAATGACCAAACCAAGGACAAGTAGCAGGCGAACTGTCAGCATAGTCAGTAAACTATTATGAACCAGTGCTGTGGATAGACTTTATCAGGGAGGAGGGGACAATGAACTTTTAACCATAATTTTCCAGCTAACCACTCTTACCTCAGTAGCTTCACCCCAACAGAAGCTTAGTTGTAGATGAGATGTAAAGGGTTGGCAGAGCATAAGAAATAAATGTAAAGGTAAATATAGGCAGCTATGGGTGTGGAATTAAAGTAAACCTGTTGTTTTCATCTGCATGGGTGATATTATTCTCCTTGATACCATAAGATTTAACCACTTCTTGGCATTCAGCTCATTTGTAGAACTTTTAGATCAAAGGTGTCCCTGGTGAGATGTTTGTCAGTAAGTTAATTCTCTCAGTAGTAAAAGATTAAAATTATCCATATAACTGTAGCCAGGCTTTGGGCCTTTAAATATATGCATGTCCCTAACAAGTAGTAAATGTACTTTAAAAACAAGCCCTCACTGACTTCTGTAACTGAATGTACTCTGATCTCTACCATTCTTGTGAAGCTGTCCCGTGTTTACATTAGAGATTAAAAGGCTAACAGACTGCCAACTCACTGCTGGAAGGGGCAGCAGGGGGAGATACACTTCTAAAAATGAAAGTGCTTCTGCAGCAAACTTTGAATTACTCCACAGTGCCTGTAGCTACAGAGGTCAGTGAGGTCTTGCTTTGAACCTAATTTACTGCATATTAATATGTAAATATTTGGATATCCATGATTCAGGCACAGTTCTACTTTAAATAACCCAGGCAGTATAGTTCTTACATGATGCAGTTTTTGCATGCTGTGACCACAAACCTGCCCTTATACAAAATAGCTTGCTTGAAAATCAGCCCTCAGCTAAGAGGAATGATTTCTAGCTTTCGGTGCAGGCATTACAGCTTAGAATCTAGAAAATAAATATCCAGCATACATAGTCTGGTTTTATACCATTTTTGAAGTCAGTTTTATCCCACCTGCAGTTTACCTTACAGTAAACATACTTTTATGTAGGAGTGAAAAGAATCACGGGATCACTCAGCAATCCTTGTAGCTATTAGCTGTAACAATAAACACATGCCTTATTTTTCTTCTGTTACCACTGATGTAATCTTGACATGAATAGCGTAACTGGAGAAAATCTACCTATTTGACAGCTCAGACAGCAGGCAGTAAGCAGCCCGAGTACAAGCATTCAGCAGCTGTGCTAATTTTATGCTAGAGGCAAAACAGCCTGGTTATTAGTTCCTGGTGACTGCAACAACGGCCTAATTTTCTCAGGACAAGTAATGTTGCTAATTAGCTCTAGTTTCCTTGACATTTTTTGTTTTGCTCACTGTGTGACAGCACTCCTTACACTGCGAGTGGCCAAAGTGTTTGGTATGGTCAGTGGTGTATTTAGGTTTTGTGCTTCTCTAGGCAAAACTACACCCGGGCATACCTCCGATCTAAATTTTTTTTGTTTAAAACATTTTGCATAACATGTTAGAAGCTGGATACAACGAGCGTCTATTGAAATAGTAACAGGCACACACTGTATCACTTCTGCCAACATCGGAAAGAGGAGGCTGCTAAGATTGAAAACAGATTGTATAGAAGATTGTAAGGTGTATGGTGATCTCTACAGATAGTATAGAAATGTATTGGTATCAGTGGAAACATATGTGAGAAGTAGAAATTGCTCATCTCTCCCAGAGCTTCCATGAGCCCCTAAGGAAGAAAGGCCGCCTCATGCTGACCATCATTGCCAGCTTCCATTCCTTTCTAAATAGAAGGAGGCCATATGACATCTCCCATATAAAAATACACAGCACACTGCTCTGCCTGCACTCATTCCATGTCATTCACATATGTGGCAGACTCAGTACTGTGCTCACCCTCTCTCGAATCCACTTACCTCAAGGTGACCCCTCTATACAGCGCTCCCTCCAAGTGTCCCTATGTGCAGAGCAGAGCAGTCATATATGTCAGGGTCCCACCGGCTGACCATAACTCCCGCCGCCCCCTCCCATCACTGTGTGTCACTTCCTCCGAACACAGAGCCGCCTCTTCCCTCACTACAGCATCGCCTTTGTGCGCGGCTGCTACCCCCACATTGCTGGATTCCCCCCTCTCCACAGGCAGGCTGTGTGTGTGACACAGAGCTTTTAGAAACATGCTGTCAGATGTCCATAGTTTGGGGGCGGCATTTTTACCGCCCCCCAGGAAAGTGCCTTCCTAGGCAAACCCCTTGTTTGCCTTGCGGTAAATACGTCCGTGGGTATGGTGTAATGCTGTCAAGAAATACTTGTGTATGTTCAGAAAAAATAATGTGGTTAAGAACAGAGTCTCAACATTGCGTACCATGGAATGCTGATGGTGGGAACTGCCCTTGGAAATATCCCTGGCTTTGACTCCTGTTCAAGTTTACAAAAAAAACCTGTCTTTGCTATTGAATGTTACATTCAATTTAAAGGCATCAGTTGATAAAGTTGGTCAAGTTAATCACTTTTTATTATGCTGCACTTTGTCTTACCTCGCTGCCAAATCTGGCCTGTTTTTTCCTTTAACCTCCCTGGCGGTATGATTATTTTTTTTTTCTTTCCTTTTTTGCTCTGTTTTTTTTTTAACTTTAAAACTTCCCGCCGCTTCCGCCCCCCTGCAACGCTCGCAAGGGACGGAACCCGGAAGACGCATGCCGGCATAGGCGGGAGGACACAGCGGGGATCGCGGACAAGGTAAGAGACGCAACGCTGTATTCCCGAGTCTGGCTCGGGGTTACCGCTTATGGTACAGAAAATTAACCCCGAGCCAGACTCGGGAAAACCGCCAGCGAGGTTAATATGTAGGGCTGGCTTCACACTTATGCACTGTGTTAGCGCACAGTAAAATATGCAATGTATACATTGTGGTGCCATTCATTTAGACATCTTTTCTTCTGATTTCATGTCTTTGCAACTCATTTTATATGAATGGGTTGCTCTAAAGCAACACGTTAACAAGCAAAATACTGCGCGTTAAGTGATGCAGCACAAAGAAATGTAGTAAGTGTAAAGGGGCCTTGTAAGGCTTTGATGATGATGTGAAAAACAAACTGGCAAAAAGATAACTAATCTAGTCTTTACTGTAGAGGGAACCTTCGAGTATAGCACCTATTGAGTTAATAACATGGAACAAGCATTAAGATGGAAGTTCACTGGCTTCTTGCTTGCTCCAGGTCAATTAAGTAGTGAAGGCAGGGTCATGGCAACAACCATGTGGCTTACACCTTTAGAAAAGAGTCAGCAATGACAGCTCTCATAGTTCGGTCCTTACAGGTTTACATTAAAGAGAATTATAGCCAAACCATTGGGTCGCAGAAATACATTTACTAATGTACTTCTGTGACCCAAAGTCAGCATATAGCGGGCCACTGCCTGCTATATGCTAACAGCGCACAGCCGCACTGCAGCTGGGAAAGATCTGGATAATATTGTCGGGATCTGTCCCATTGCCTCATTGACAGTTGGCTCTGCCTCTCTAGACCCAGTTCCAGCTGTGCCCGCCACCTCTCCTGTCTGGAGGAATAGAGAGGGTGATGATTACTAATTATTACTCTCTGCAGGGAGAAGTCGTGAGCTTAGCAATCAGCTAAGCTAGTGATCACTCAGTTCTCGATCTATAGAGCCAGTGTTTGACAGCGGCAGTGTCACATGCAGGCTCAAACTACTGGGAAGAATACATTTTACTTTCCCAATAGTTCTCCTCTAAGAGCTTGGGTTTTCAGATGAAATCCAGACACACAAATTAATACACATGTAAACATTTTGACCTGTCAAAAATGTGTGACTCTTTTCAGCCACATTTGTACATCTCAATGTCACAGTGTAGAGCCTGGAGATTTACACATATTCCTGTTCCAGTTAAAGCGAATCTTTCCTTATACTTAGTAAAAAAACAAGTTTTATTTACCGAACGCACTGTAAGTAGCATTTTCTTACTTTCCCCTACTGCCTTGATCCCCTGCCAAAGTCCTTGTTTTCACTTATAATTTATAATCCCCACGTTATGGCATACATTTCAAACGTGCAATAAATAAAGTTGTCGTGCCAACACCAAATTACCAATATGCAGAACTCTGCACCGCGCTTAGTTCTGAATACTGTTCAAGTTTCAGCCTAGTCGTATCTTACACATCCCAAGGGTAGTGAATCAGTGTGGCTGGAGAGCAAGAGAAACATAAGTAAAGGGTGCTTTCACAGCCTCCTGCAATGCAAACCTGTTACTTAGCCCAGGGAAGTGGTGGCAGTCACTGTTCTCTGCAGGGAGAAGACCGCAAGCTATCAGCGGTAACACGATGGGGTAGCTCTTGTCTATAGAGCCGGTGTGTGACAGCTGCAGTGTCCACACAATTGCTCTAAGTATTGGGAAGAGTATATTTCACTCTCCCAATACTTCACCTTTAAATACATATTTGCAAATGCCCCTGTACAACTATATATCATAGCATTTTGTATTAAAATTGTATTAATCTTCTCAATTTTACCTGGTGATGCTGCCAGTCACAGGACTGTATATGGGGCTTCCTGTTGTCATAAAGGTAACACCACCACTGCTGCATTCAAGGCAGTGGGTTAACATTGTCACCCTTCTGGGGCACTCCAACTTTAAGAATACAAGAAGCTATGCCAATGTGCAACATGCTGGTGGTCTACCATTGGGAATGCACGTCATCTTGCCAATCAGTCTAGACACACCTAATGCACTGTCACCTTCCCATTGCAACAAATAATACCGAGCAGCCAGAGGGATTAATCAGCTTCAACTCTCTGCCTGTACTGGAAAGTGCACAAAGGCTGCTGGGAGCTAATGTCCAGGAATCAGGGACCAGGACTCAGCAGAGATGTCAGTGGAAGTGACAAGATGCTCCAGCTTAATACCCACCCACAGCCATTGCCATTCATAAGCCATAAAAACAGGAGGCAGCCACTGACTAACTAGTGCATATAATGTATTTTGGGGATTCATTTCTGTAACTTTGGGAGATACAGAATGCTTATTATTAGGGATGCACTGATATATATCGGCCGAAAATTGCACTTTTGGCTAAATGCCGAAAGTGCCATTTTCCTGCCGATACATCGGCGCATCCGTGCTTTCTTTCCTCCCCGCTGGGCGCTGCTCTGTGTCCCAGGGGAGGAGTGAAACAGTGATAGCTGACTGTGCGCTGCGGGGGGAGAGCGCAGTGAGCTGCCGGCGTCTCTCCTCCCACACCACTTAGCCTCCTATCACAGTCCGGCAGAGCGGTGTGTGGGTGGAGACAGCCCACGCTGTGACAGGAGGCTGAACTCTCCTCCCTGCACCGCTCGCTCAGACTCCGGTGACAGCATGTCAGAGAGGAGAGCGGGTACAAACACTCAGCGATCAGTGATCGCTGAGTGTTTGTAGATAATTGAGGACATGGTATGGTTACTACAGTATATCCTCAACTATGAATGAATGGGAGTGATCTACATCACCCCCATTCATTCATAATTGTAGTTATAGTAAACACAAAATGTCCTCATGTTATCAATGAACAGGAACACTCATAGAGGATTCCTGTTCATTGATAACAGGGGATACAGAAAAAGAGATTGAGAACTTTGTGTCCTCAATCTTTTTCTATTTTAAAAGTGAAATATCAGGAGCCTGTTTAGACCCCTAATATTACCCCAAAGCCCCTAAAAGTAAAGTAAAAAAATAAAAAATGAATAAAAATAAATATAAAAAATTAAAAAGTTTATAAAAAAATAAATAAAAAATGAAATATATTTTTTTTAAATTTAAATTAAAAAAATTTCGGTTTCAGCCTGACAATTTTTTTAAATTTCGGTTTTGGTTTTGAGATTTCCATTTTGGTGCACTTCTATTTATTATACAGAAATACTACACCCTGCTTTTTTTAGCAAGTCAAGATTTACATCTACTTAAAAATTCAAAAAATGCCACAGTCCAAGTGGTGTTGAAAGTAACTGGCCCAGGTATATCTCATTATTAGGGTATCTGGAAATTAATAAAAATATTGCCAGCCCTAAAATATACGACTGCTGACCTGCAGTCTTCATCATCTCACCTTTAAAAAAGTAGAATTTTCCATCTGATCCTGACACTGCTGCAGCTTCAACAAATGCCGGTAGTCTCTTCCACCTCTGCTGTGTGAGCTGTGGCTCTGAGACATTCCCATCCAGAGTCACCATCCAGTAGTGTCGGCCTTTGAAGATGTACAATGTTTGTTTCAAGTCTGCATAGCCAGAAAAGATAATGTCAGTTGTAGTGAAGCTCATGTCTATTGAAAACACAATATTAAAGTATTAATCTATACAGAAGACTCAGTTAAACATTAGGGCTGATTCTCACTATTGATGTGTTGGTATCACATGTTGTACATGCATTTTGGGAGGCATTAATTTAAAGTGGGTCCCCGACACATGCCAACAGAGTAAACAAGTTATGTGCTGTGGCGAACTTCATTGGCACATTGTTAGGCACATTGTTAGGCACATTTTTGGTCTGTGATGAAAAACTTGCAGTAGGGCTGCCCCACTGCAAGGGTTAAAACTGCAAAGAACCTGTACCATGTTTCACAGTTGACTGCAGACATTCATCCTTGTACTATGTTCCAGGCCTTCAAGAAACAAACTGCGTTTAATTACAGTCAAATATTTCATATCTAAAATCATCAGTGCAGAGCATCTGCTGCCAATTTTCATTTTTTTCCGCACACCAATCGTTGTGTTTTTGTACATAGGCGAGTTGCTTGGCCTTGTTTTTACATTGGAGGTATGGCTTTTAGACACAAGTCTTCCTGAAGACCACTTCTGGCCAGACCTTTCTGGACTGTGGATAGGTGTTCTAAGGTCCTACTGGTTGCTGCCATGTCTGAACTGATAGTGCCACTGGAGATCTTCTGATTGTGAAGGGTAGGAAGCCTGATGTTTCTTTCATCTGCTTCACTAAGTTTCCTTGGCTGACCACTGTAGTTCTGCCCTTAATGATGCCAGTTCATGTTCTTCTTTAGAGAACCTTGCACATCATGTCTGGGAAAACCCCTCTTCATTCAAATTTCTGCATGTGAGAGACCTTGTTGAGTAAGATTTTTTTTTACACCAAACTGTCTTCAGCGACCTGAGCTTGTTAGTAGAGCAGTATCATTCCTCCTACACAGCTCATTCCTTTAGATTAAAGGAGAACTATGGGGTCAGTGTTTTTCCCCATAGTTCTCCTTGGGGTAACGGGAGGACACAAACTAGTGTCCTCCCGTCACCCTAAGCTCAGTATACCGCGAGCTGTAGCTCGCGGTATACTGAGCTTAGGGTGACGGGAGGACACTAGTTTGTGTCCTCCCGTTACCCCAAGGAGAACTATGGGGAAAAACACTGACCCCATAGTTCTCCTTGGGGTAACGGGAGGACACAAACTAGTGTCCTCCCGTCACCCTAAGCTCAGTATACCGCGAGCTGTAGCTCGCGGTATACTGAGCTTAGGGTGACGGGAGGACACTAGTTTGTGTCCTCCCGTTACCCCAAGGAGAACTATGGGGAAAAACACTGACCCCATAGTTCTCCTTTAAGGGCTCATACAACTGTACAACTCAATGACAGAATGCAGCTGCACGCTGCTATACGCCGACCTGAACTTGCACAACCTTGCAGAAATGGATGCATGACACTGGATGCAGTCCTGTCATTGAGTTGTACAGGTGGCTGTATGCACCAGCTGTCAATCCCGGGTGCAAGTTTCTGAACGGACGTGCAGGGCCGATTTATTCAATGGGCAAAGTGAGCATTAGCCCAGGGGCCACTGTCACATCTAAGGTCCACAAACAAGAGGGGACATTTTCCTTAGTTCCTTATGGCAGTGTGTGGCCCTTACCTTACAGACAGAAGGGAGTGACTTCCAGAGCCTTGAATCGGCATTGCATGCTAGTGATTGTATATGACTGAGGCTCAGTTATATACAATTACTAGAATTTCTAGAGAATCACTGCACCTCCACTAATGACAGCTTATGCTGTTAGTACTTCAGGAGCAGGCTTGTTCACAGTAGTAAAGATTCAGCAATGACTCAAATAATCATTACTGCAATCAGTAAACTGCAATCTGTAAGTTCTAAACACCATTAAACTTTGAAAACATGATCTATTGTATTGTTCAGGCGTTTATAAACATTGGTGTTCATTTATAAAATTAATGAAATAGCACCAGATTCCTGGCATGTTCTGAAATTTGATTGGTTGCTAATGCAACAAAGATACTTTCCTTACCACTTCTAACAGAGTCCTTTCCATATACATTTATAGCAAATAAATGATTATTTAGTTTAGTGCTTAATTTTTTTTCAGCTGGCCTCTTTGACATACTAACACTGTGCATAATGTACTGTCTCATGGATGTTACCGCATGCCTCTAGTCCTGTTTAATGCTCTATTATAAGAATGAAATCTCTGTTTATAATTGGTGACGTTCTTACCCCAAGTGACAGCGTCAAATATGGACTGGCAGTAATATGGTTTGACTGCACCATCTGTGACTCCTTTCTTTTCTTCACTCCAGTCTTCAAACATGGCAAACTGTTTTCCTGGAAGCTGCACCAATCTGCCACTTGAGGGCGACCCTGTTATACAATCACAATGACAATCATAAAGCCAAACTTCCTTGTTAAATCAGAGACATTTTTATTACTTTGCTCAAGAATGGCCACTAACTACACCTTAACAGTAAATATGTTCTAATTCACAAAAAAGGTCCAGCTTAGATCTATGCCTGTTTTTCCATCCATCTGCATATTTCTCTTTTTTTTTCTCTTATTTATAATGTATTTCAAATGTCAATTCTTATTGTTGTTGATATTATTATTGTGTAGGGTTGCCGGTTATAGATAACAGGCCTTATTGGGTTTCACCTCTGAACAACAGTGGTAAGTAGCATGTAGGTTTGCCCTGCTACAAATTATAATTCCACATTTAGAAGAAGCAGATGAGTCTTTTAATTATTAAAAAAAGAAGAGGTGAAATTGTTGTATGTGGGCTTTCAGATCTACACATCTCCTAGGGCCAGTACAAGGTGGAGGTGTTGGGGTTTCTCTCCTGGCTACTTTCTATATTTGTTTATATCATTATAGAGAATAACATCTTTTGTATCACTTGCCCCTCCCTTTTAGAGTGTAAACTCTCACGGGCAGGAGCCCTCCTAACCATCTTGTCTTGAATGATTTTATTGTAAGTATTGTAACTTAATGTCTTCCTTATACTGTAAAGCACTGCACAAACTGTTAGCGCTATATAACTCCTGTATTATAATAATAATAATAATAACACAGGAGGAATACAATACCACCTACTTCAGGAGCTGGATTACTCTACAGTAGGTAGGGCAGAGCTGGGAAATGTGATGGGGAGATGTCAAAGACTGGAGCCCCCAGGGCCAACAGAAACGATTCAACAGGTAATTCAGGCTTTGTAGCATCCACCAATAACTGATGTGTTAGGTTTAGCCAGACTAGGTTGTATATGTACACCTGACCCTCAGCAGAATGCAAAGCATGGAATAAAAAAAGAACATGTGCTGATTTCCAGTATGCTGGGAAAAATACATCAGGTGTGTGTGTGGTTTTTTTTTTTATCTGTAGATGCATGGGGGGGCCCACAGAAAATAAATGTATCCATTCGATGCAAAGCACCTCACCATGGCAAAAGAAAATGTTAATGCACGTGTTAGGCCTCGCTCGCACCATCCTCCCGATTGTGGCCGGAATGTACTGCATCGCGTTGCGGCTGGCTCAGTTTGTTGTGGGGCGGGAGGGGGCGTGGCGATGCATTGAAGTTAATGGTATCGCAGTCACGCCCTCCAGGCCGCAATGCAATCGGCCGCACGGGAACCCAAGGCCCCTCATACCTGCGTTCCGGTCAGAAAAAATGCTGCAAGCAGGCATTCATGTGCCTTGCGTTCCCGTGCGGCTGATCGCATTGCGACCGGAGGGAGTGGCTGCGGTGCCATTCACTTCAATGCACCGCCCCCCCCCCTCCCGCCCAGGGCCTC